ACATAGTTTTTTTTCTTAAAATTCTTATACCTATTGTTATAGTCAGTTGGAAATGATCCAAAATGAGTCTAGTTGTAAAAAAAAAAATTTAGCAAAATCTGCATATGCCTTAATATGTCATTGTAAAACACACACTAAAAAGTAGCCCTCATTGGGTGTGTATGGATTGTTTCCTATTGCATCTGTAATAAATTACCACATATCAGTGGCTTAGAATATTGCTTATTTATTACTTTTATACTTTTAAAGAGGGTCTTATGAGAATAAAATCAAGTGCTCACAGAGCTGAATTCCTCCTGGATGTTGTAGTCCTTTTTTTTTTTTTTTTTTTTTTTGTAACCTTTGCTAGCCCCCAACAGCAAAAGTCCATGTACCGTGGCTCTTTTTCTTTGGCTAGCTGTTCTGTCACTCCAGTCTTCAGTTCCATCATCACATCCCCTTTCTAACTCTTCTGCTTCCCTCTCATTGATGAGGACCTTTGTGTCACATTGGGTCAGATAATCCAGGATAATCTCATGTTGAGAGAAATAGGTTTTTGCTATGTAATATGACATATTTATAGGTACTGGAGATTGATCTGTGACTTGCTTAGAGGTTCTGGGGATTAAGATGCGGACATTGTTATTCTTCTTATCATAATGTTATTAAAATTTTATACCTGGTATCTATTTTTTATCCTGTGAAGCATATTTAGAAGATAGTGAGGAGAAGATACACATAAAAATATTTTAGAGAATATCGTAAACACTGATGGGTAAGTAGACCCTCAGAGACAGAGACTCCCACAATATCTTTTTAATCAATAAATGAATACACAGGATACCTGGAAATTCTGGACACCATTTTAGTTACTTGGAATCTCATAGAACAAGGTTTCTAGAGAGGTTGCCCTTACAATCAAAGTTATAAAAAAAAAATTAACTGACTTGTGTAGGAAAAGTTTTGATATTTATCCTATTGTCAAACCATCCCTTTGATATATTTTATCATAGAAATAAAAATATTTTTACATGGGTAAAAAGTAAAATATTTAAATGGGCTTCTAGTTAAAGAAAACTTTCCCTTGCTACTCCGGTCTCTCTTCTCCTATCTTACTCCTTAGAGGCAACTACTTCTAATTATTTCTGTTCTTGATTTGTTCTCCAAGTTACCCCTAGATCTGTAAATAACATGTTTATCCTTTTTCAACTTTAGACATTGACTGAGGACCCATTGCTAGGATTTGTCTTACTTATCAGCCCTGTATCTTGTATTCTGCTATTCCATTTGTCCCTCAGTCAGCACTGAAACTTTGTACACATAGACCTACATTTCTTATTCTACTAGTGGTGGAAAAATTCCTCTAAAACACACTTTAACCTTTGTTCTCTTTTCTTAAGATAATTTGGGGTAATATCTCCTGACTTCTTTGTTTGTAAAAAAGAATATTTATATGCTTACCTTGTGTGTTAGTTATTTTTGTGTAGCTGTAACCAAATCCTAAAAAAATAACTTAAAGGGAGGAATTACTTCTTTTGGCTCACAAGTTTGGAGGGTTCAGTCCATTCTTTCCTGGTTTCATGCACTTGAGCAGAACATCATGGAAATGAGTGCATGTAGAGGAGGAGACTGTTCACTTTGTGACTGACAGGAAGCAGAGAGAGTAGGGGCTGGGGACCATAACCTTCAGCAGCACAGCCCAGTGATCTGCTTCCTCCAGCTAGGCTCCACCTCCTAAAGTTTCCACCAACTCCCACAATAGTCCCCCAGCTCAGGACCAAACATTCAACACAAGCCTGTGGGAATATTTCATATTCAAACCACAAGATACTGCTTCCTATATCTCTCTCTCCATTAGTTCTCAATACTTTACAGTGCTTTTATTTTTGTGTTGTCAATGTTGACAATATTCTTTCTGAGATTTTTAATCTATCCTGAAACATTACTGGTATTAGTCTATGGAGTGACTCTGAACATTGAAAGCCAATCAAGAGTATATTTTATTTAATTCTATAAATATTATTCACTATTAAGTGGAGTGGTGTTAGAATTAAATTTCCTTCTCAGGGCTGGGCATGGTGCTCATGGCTATAATCGCAGTTACTTGGGAGGTGGAGGTAAGAGTATTGTAGGTGAAGGACAGCTGAGGCAAAAAAAGAAAAAGCAAGGTCCTATTTCAAAGAACAAGGTGGGCATGGTGGTTTCCAATCCCAGCAATGCATAAGACAGAGGTGGGAGGATCATATTTCAAGCCTGGCTCTAGGCAAAATCATGCCCTTTCAAAAAAGTAACTAAAGCAAAAAGACCTGGGGGCACAGCTTATGTAGTAGGACACTTGCCTAGTGCCTTGCAGGTGGGAGGTCTTCAATACCACCAAAAGAGGTAAATAAATAAAAATAAATTTTCTTCTTGTTGGTTCAGTGGGATCACCACTGAAAGAATTTTCCTATAATAAAATCAGATGGGAAAATCAATCTCTCTCCCAACTGCATATAACAAATATAAGTTTTTTGCAGTTTTCAGTCACTTCATCTATTTTCTTCCATCCCTCTTCCTTCTTTCTGAAGACCTCCCTCTCCTTCCAGCCTGAGTGCTTGCCCTCTAGGCGTCCTGTACAGCTCTTCTTCTGAGACTTCACTTTCTTCACCATTCTTCTGTGTTGCTTCATTCTTTTCTGGATCACATTTCTCTGTCTCCTTAACTTACTGCTTCATTTTCCTATGGGTAAAATTTCTGATATTTGCAGATATCTGCAGGTTTCTTTATTCCTCTTATTTATTTGATGGGTTGGCTACAAATGGGATCCACTTTAAATTGTTTCTTCTCAGGATTTCCAGCCTGGCTCCTGGACCCTTAAATGACCTGTATAATGGTGAACCATTTTTCCTTCTGCATTCATTTAATGTCTTCTCCTTTTCTTAAAGTTTTAGTATTTAATAATGCTGTATCTAAGTGTGAGTGTTTCTCATTCGTTATAATGCTGGAACTTTTGCAGTATTCACAGGACCTACACCCCTTTTGACTCTGATCTCATCTCATATTACCACTCCCTGGCTCACTTGACTGCCCTCTTCTTTATTTAACCATGCCTCATGGTCTTTTCACTGACTACTCTTGGGAGTAGAATGTGTTTTTCTCAGATGTCTGCTTGGCTCACTTCCATACCTCCTCAGGTCTTTTTTGCAAATGTCAGTTTCTGAAATGACATCCCATGTTAACAATCTCATTTAAAATTGCAGTCCCCTGCATCCGAGCACTCTGGATATTTTTATCCTGCTTTAATTTCCTTCATAGTGCTTATAACTAATTTCCATTCAAAATAAAAATATATGCAATGCATGTGTGTATGTGTGTGTATGTTACTTCTGTGTATATGTGTGCATGTACTTGGTATTAGTTTGTTACAGCCATCATAATACCACTACAGAGTGGGCACTTTAAACAATGGTTTATTTTCTCACAGTTTCTGCAGGCTTCATGTTTTAGATAATAAGGCAGGATTAGTTTATTCCAAGGCCTCTTTCCATGGCTTATAGGTAGCTTCTTTTCCCTTTGTCTTTATCCATTCTTTTTTCTGTAACTCTGAGTTCACATTTCCTTTACACATTAGAATAATAGCCATATTTGATTAATGCCCCGCCATGTTGACTTGATTTTAACTTAATTATCTCTTTACAGACTTTATCTCCAAATATGGTCACATTCAGGATAATGAGTATTTGGACTTTAGCATATGAATTTAGTGGGGAAAGGCACAATTCTTCCCCAATATACTTATTTTTTGTATTCTGCTTCACTGATAGAATCACTAGAATGTAATCTCCATAAAGGTTAAGTGTTCTGTTGTTGTTTATGTTGTTCTGTTTTGTTCTTCACTCCAACTGCTTGCACAATGCCTAGCACATAATTGATGTTCAGTAAGTAACAATAGGCTGCATCTCCATGAGTTCCTTGATCGGAATAGTCATATCCTTTCTCATCTCTGGAAAAGTATCTCATTATTTCATTATTTCAGTTCCCCCACCCCCAGATTCTCTATATGCTCTTTCTAGTTTTGTTCATTGAACCTTGGACCCACTTGATTGATTCTTATTTTTGGTTCATCTGTTGTGATTCTACCTTTCTTGAGAGATTCTTTGAACCTTAACTTCCAGTCACTTCTATAGAACAGTATTTTGGCAATCATATATTAAATTCTAAGAGTTCTCTTCTTGGTCTTTTCTGATGGAATTCTGATTTTTTTTATGGGTGCTCTGTCTTTTATGATCTTTCTGCATTTATTAGATCATATTTCTCTTTTGTTCCCTGAATTTTTTCTGTTTTTGTCACATTTTTGTTATAGTTTGTGTTCTTTCTCTTACTTATTACTTAAGAATTTCTCATCCTTAATTACCTGTAAATCACTGGTTATATATTTTTATTTTATAGTGAGACAATAAATACTAGAGTTTATCTCATGGGTGGGAACATTTTCTTGATAACATCACTTTGTGATGAGCTGGCTGTTACTCTGGAGACCCCCTTCAAGGCTGAGCACAGGGATCCTTGGTTTGGAGGACAATACCCGCAGTAGCTACCTTAGGTCCCTGTAAATAACTTACTTCTTTTTTATAGATTAAATACTTACAATTTTTAATCTAGTTGGTTGCCCAACTTGGAATATATGGAAAATAGAATCAGGGATTTCTTATGTATGCTTTCAATTAATATCTTTGTTTTCACTTTTATTGCCATTGATTCAAGGATAAACCCATTGTGCCCTCTTCTTCCTATCCTTAAAAGAACAAAATCACCAATCAGGCAAGCACACTCTGACTTTTCCATCTAGATTAAGCTGATTACCGTTTTCCTAGTCATTAGGGATGTTAGGAAGAACTAGGTGTAAGACTAAAAACTATCCAAAGTTACTGCAATTTTAGTCAGATTAGGTTGGTTCCAACTATACAATCTTTTTTGGCCTTAGACCCCCTCATTTCCTTTTAATATACCAACTAACTAATCTCTTTTTTTATTCCACACAGGTCTGCAATTAAAGCCTTACGTCCTGGAGGGCTACTTGTGTACTCTACATGCACACTTTCCAAGGCAGAAAATCAAGATGTGATTAGTGAAATTTTAAATTCCTACAGTAACATTGTGCCTGTGGACATTAGGGGAATAGCGAGAACTTGCTCCCAAGACTTCACATTTGCTCCAACTGACCAGGAATGTGAGCTCTTAGTCATTCCCAATAAGGGCAAAGCCTGGGGCCCAATGTATGTAGCCAAACTGAAAAAATCTTGGAGTACGGGAAAATGGTGACATGAAATTTAAAGCCATGTTGGTGTATTACTATATTTGTTTTAACTTTAGCATCACAGACGCAGGCTTGAAAATTTTTCAGGTGTATTTCTTTTCCTAGAAATTTATCTGTAGCAATGATTTAAGTTAGTGCAGATGGAGTTTATTTTGTATAATAAATCTACTGTCTTTTACTTAGCATGTTATAGTTAAGTTAATGAGAATACATGGTTTTATGAATAAAATGTTTAGGACTACATTCTATCTATGATGTCGGTGCTTGGAACCTTTAAAAATGCACATTTGTCAGCACTTTACCATTTTCCTCCTTATCTAACATACACATTCTTTTCTGTAAGAACTCTTTGGTATTCTGAGACTAACTTCTAAAGCAGCACAATTTCTAGTTCTAGCAAAATAGGTTTCTTATTTGCAAAGTTGTTTTCCGTTAAGGACTGTCATCTGTTTACTGCAAAGGTCAGTGACTCTATTGACACCAGCTTTATTTCCTCCATTTCTTTTGTATTCACAAATACAAATTGAAAGGGTAAATTACACCGAAAGGCCTTTAGAACAGCAGATTCACATGCACATGTTTGACTTTCAACACTCAGCTTGTGGAATAATGTAGTCTATCCAGCAGGCTATAAAGCAAGTACTTGAAATAAAACCAGAATGATTAATAACTGCAATAACTGAACTATACTTGGAGAGTTTTGTTACATAATTGCAGTCATAATGAGTACTACAGAATCTGATTATCTTACAGTTGCAATCTGGAGGAGCTTTTTATTTCACTCAGTTATAAAATGTTATAGGAGTGTGATGTCACATATTAATACACAAGAAGGAGTTGCCTAATGAGAGTGGATTTTACAATTACCAAAACCCAATACCATTTACTAAGTAGCTCCCTCTGTTTACATATATTCTGGAATTTTGTGTGTTCCTTGTATGTACTTAGAGTTTTGGTTTCAGTTTTGTATCCTGCATTTTCTCCAGAATTACTTCACTGGAGTCCAGATATATCTTAACTCTTAAGAAAAATTATAATGCTGGGGTTGGTGATGCAGACTCTAATCAGCTTGTGAGTTCTCAGCTACATAGTGAGTTCAAGGCCAGCCTGGGTTACATAGCAAGACCCTCTTTCAAAACAAGTAAAAGAAAAGAAACAGAGATCAAAAGTTGTCAGTTTGAAAATTAGCTTTTTCTTTTTCTTTTTATTCCTTTTTGCACTACTGGGGTTTGAACTCAGGGTCTCATGCCTGGTAGGCAGGTGTTGTACCACTTGAGTCATGCCTGCAGCCTGAAAATTAGCTTTTTTAAAAACAAAGACACAAACTTTGTGATTGTAGAAATACAAAATTCTGCTGAAGCCGAATACTTTTATATTGTTAACTGTATTCTATGCATTTTAACAAAAGACTATTTGCTAATTACTTTTTTTTTTTTTTTTTTTTGGTAAGACTATCTAACCCAGATTCAGATTTGGAGAGTCCAGGAAAAATATGTTTTATACTTTTGTTCTATTAACAACTTTTAAGAAAATATCTAACTAATGTATTTAAAATAAAGCTAGCTCTTTGGACCCAATGAAGTATATTTGGTTAATAAAGAAGATACATGTTTTGTTTACAAGTGTGTGCATAATGATTTGTTTTTTCTGGTTGAAATCCTGTCTTCAGTTACTGTAGGTTTTACATGAGCGTTTCTTTTGTGTAGGTTAATCAGAAAGTAAATTTTCATAGTATACTTGGGAATGTCATTATGTTACCAATATAATTCCATGAAGTTTCATTTAAATACTTGGTGTAACATTGAATTAGACTTTGCCTTGATTACTTAAAAACATATGTGTTTGTTACATATGTACATGTATGACTTTATTATTAACAGTGATTATGATGAAGCAGCAAATATTTATTGAGCATTAAATGGTTGATTAGATTCTTTTGTGTTGTGTTTTTTGATCCTTAAAACTCTAGTAGTGAATTTTGTAACCCCTTTTGTGAATGAGAAAACAAAAGTTCAGTGCTATTTGCTGTTTGCCAAGGCTATACTGCTAAGAGTGGAACCAAGGTTAAAACTGGCTTTATTGCCCAGTCCTTCCTCCCTCATTATGCTGTCTCACAGAGTATCGATTATAGGAACTCTCAAGATTATCAACTGGCTTTACCCCCTTCTCTGTTGTTCAGTTTTCTATTTTTATGTAATTCTCAGAGCATGAAAGGATTTATTGATACTTGGGTTTAAAAAAAAAAAGCCCTTTGAAATATTTCAGGGCATGTTCTAAAGAGGTACATCTTGTGATTATAATACTCAAAAAACTCCCATGGTTGTATTTTGTGCCTTCCTTTTCTTTCCAGATGCTGAACCAAAGAATTGAAATTTGGAGCAGTTTTGCTCAATTGAAAAGCAAGCATTAATTGATATTACTTTCTGTAACATTGAGTTACTTTCAAAATAGCTTTTTAAAAATCTAGGTTACATATTACCAACACATTAACTTCCTCTGCCATCAGCACACTGGATGGACAGCCACTAGTTTCAGAAATGGACTATGAATAAATGTAATGCATTTAAATGGTTTATTCTGAATTTTTAAAGCACAGGATATTATCTAAGGGTTGGAATCAAGGGGGCCTACAGTTCTTTATCTTATGACATATATCCATATAGCTTTATACTTAGAGTTACATATTACTGCCTTAGCAGTATTGAGAATAACATCCTTTTGTACAGTGTGAGTAGGTATAAAATAATAGCTACCTGAATACCTGCTGTACAAATAAATTATCACAAATCTAGCAGATGTGTACTCATGAAGGCTTTGTGCCCAGGAGAGGTGCGTCAGATAATCTGCATAAACTAATTCAACTCATCTGGAATACAGAGAGAAAATTGAAACCAGTAACAACAATCTTATTGATGCCAAGAAGTCCTTTGATGCAATTGAATGGAACTGCTGGTATTATGTGTTAGGTAAATTTGGCTTTAGGGACAAATCAAGAAGATAGCACAATTTATTTTCAACCCATTTGTATGGTACAAATCAATGGTTTATAATCTCCCTTTCCATGCCTTATTGCTGTATTGGGGTGGGAAAGAAGGACGAGGCCCATTACTGGTATTACTCTTTAGGCTGACATTGGAGCTCTATCACCCAGATCCCAAGGGCATCTGAGCAATATTCAGATGGAAGTTTAGAAGTTAACTAATGTGTCCTGATAATCTACTGCTTGTGCTGAAAGCTCTAACAGCATCTGCCCTGAAAACACTAAAAGTAATGTCAGAATTAGGAATGGCTTCAGGCTGCAAAGTCAGTGCGAGAGAATCAGAAATACTATCCTGACAGAGTATTTAGTTTCGATTAATATTACTGTGTGACATTCAAAATAAAATTTAAACTTAAAAAGAATTGGTTTGGGATACTCATTAGGTAGTGATTAAGCAATAAACTAAACAAAACATTTAAAATTTGACCTATAATTCAGTGCTAAGATTTTTTTAAAACTAAGTTTCACTAATTTTTAATTCTAACAAGGATTAAAGCTTGGTAGATCATATACTTCTTTAAAATTTAATTTGCTAACTCAAATATTAACTTAGTAACTTTTTACAAATGAAGAAACTTCCTCCATCATGTAAGACCACATAGTCATGCAGAAACCTTGTGACAGCATACGCTACTTTAGGAAAAAGACTATTTGCCTCATTGGAAACTATTTAATGGAATATATCATGACTCAAACTTGCTATGACTTGTCAAAAGGAATTTTCCACTGTGTATTGCTATAGAAGAGCATATTATGTATGAATAACTTACCACCTAGCAGTATCAACAGAAACTAAAAGTGTATAGTCTACTGAGAAATAAAAAAATAAGACCATAGTACTCAGCTTCATTCTAGTTTTTCTAAACAAGGGAGGGTCTGGGAGTGGTGGTTCACACGTAATCCCAGCTACTCAGGAAGCAGAGATCAGGAGGATCATAGTTCCAAGCCAGCCCAGACAAAAAGTTAGTGTGACCTCATCTTAATCAACAACCAGGGTGTGATGTTTCACATTTATGGTTCCAGCCAAGCAGAAGGCATAGGTGGGAGGATTGCTGTTGAAGGCCAGTCTGGGCAAAAACATGAAACCCTATCTGAAATATAGCTAAAACACAAAGGGTATGGGGCATGGCTCTAGTGGTATAACGTGCCAGGCCCTGAGTTCAAACGTGAGTAGCAAAAAGAAAAAAAAAAATGGGAATAAAACCACAGAGAAAAACATAATGGACAAAATCCAAAGGGATTAACAATGATTAAAAAAAAGAAAGATGGAATTTGTATTCAATTATGATTATTGTTATACGGAGAATATCTTCAGTTGCTGTCCAAACATGCTAGTAACACCTTTCCAAAAGGTACATGGGTGAGGGGCAGAGGAATGAGAGAACTGGAGGACTTGGACAGACTCGAGTTGAGGCTGGTAGTGAAGGACTGCTGTGGGTTCAAAGCACAAAACTGCCAATCCTCAAAACAAGGGAAGTGTAAAGTGACAAGTAGCTATGATGCAAATTGTCCTGTGTGGTATCCTTAGCCATGAAAAGCCAGTATAACTAGCTGTATCACATTGCCTGTGATCTTTTGGATCAATCATTAAAAAAACTTGATTAAAAGTCCTAGACTATAGCAAATGTGTCTATTAGACAAATAGACATACACAAATCTAACTACCTATGTTCTTCTGTAAGTAAAACTACCCATTTCCCTAGGAGATAGGGCCTGGTGGGAGGTTTTAGGTCATTGGGGCCATGTCTTTGAAAGTGACTGAGGACCCTGTCTTTTCCTCATTTACACTTCTCCGCCATGAGGTAAATGGTTTTATTCATCCAGAATCCTAAAAGTAATGGGCACACCCAAACATGAGTAGAAACTGAGCCAAAACAACAACAAAAAAACCCACCTTTTCTCTTTAAGTTAATTATCTCAGGTGCTTGTTAAAGTAACAGGACTTGACTACTACACCTGCTTGAA